CCCTGTTCCTGCAGCTTCCACACAACATCTGGTAGTAAAAACCAAGAAATGAGATAGGAAAAAATAATTCACAAACCAGTCTTCCACTGGAATTTCTGGAGGAAGTAGATGCTTGTTTCTGGCTTCTTCTGAGAAGTTAGCAGCGACATCCTGCTTCTCTAATAACCTTCACCACGCAAACCAGAAACACCAGGCAAGCGAAGTGTGCGTTAGGAGGCATGATGAGGTGAGACAGATATAGTACCGTCTGTTAACAGCTCCACGAAAAATATGAAAACAGAGATCACAGGGAAATTCTCCAGAGCAAGAGAGTCATCATTTGGGGGGTAGAAATTGTTTTGCCCTTTTTTGATACATCTTTGAATTTTTTTTTGAAAGAAACTATACATATTATATAATTTTTTAATGATTTTTTTAATAGGGAGGAAGGGGCTGATGCTTTGGGCTACAGAATGGGGTAGTGGTTGGCAGTGGGGAGAAGGAGTGGGAGTGATTTCTGTTTGGTGAGGAGGCGCTGGCATCTCGGGGTCTAGCCTGCAGCCAGACAGCACACGAGGAGGCATATTTAGGTTTTGTGCACCCTCCAGCCGTCATCTTTCTCCTACGTTTTTCCACCTCCTGAGGCCAGAGGTTCCTGGGCACACTGCAGGGACCATCAGTTTCATTGACTGCTGAAGAGCGGGAACCCCCAGAAGATCTAACCCTCCTCTGGTCATTGCTTAGCAGGGCAGTGCAGGTCCCATGCTGAAAACCCGCCTCTCGTGCTGCTCTTCCCTTCCCGTGTTGTGTTCCAGAGGGAAGCGACGAGTCAGCACTTTGCTGGAGTGGGTAAAATCAACAGTAGCTTATCGTGCAAACTGTGGCACCGCCCCCTGCTGCCCTGTTGGGCCCTTGGCTTGCTGACTCAGTGGCTACCCCTGCCTCTCTGAGCCTCTTCTGAGAACCAAAGCAGCACCCACAAATCCCACATGCCCTTCCCTTTATATACAGCCTGCTCACCCCGAGCCACGTGTGGCTGGCCGAGTATAATGCGGCCATTCAGACAGGTGGTTGGCAGGACTCTTTCATCTTGGCAGGTTGGGTATTTTGCACTATTTATGAGGGGCAAGTGAATGAAAACCAAGCACTGCTGAGCAGTGAAATCCTGGGAGAGTAAGTGTGGGGAGGCACAGTACACAAGATATTAAGTGCTACTGTGCCTATATGTGATGATTCTCTAGAAGAAAGAGAGGAGCCCCTTGACACTTCTCAATCAACTTTCCAAGGCCAAGAGGCAATATCTGACTTTTCAGCCCCATTTGGCAATGTTTGAGTGCCAAGAGCCTGTGAGAAGAATGTTCTCCAAGGTACTAAAGGACTGGTGGCTCCTCCTTATTTCTGGGGAAGATGCCCCTTGGCTTTGAACCTACTGCTCTGAAAACAACAAATGGATGTGGTGAAGTCCCCACTGTGCCTTGCCAAGAACACATCAGGGAGTCCCCCCCTCCTCCAGCCCTCCATTGCTGGAGGGTAACAGAAACTTGTAACAAGAAACACCAGTGGGAGTTTTTTCACATGGAAGAAAGTCTACAGCTGACTCTTCTTTGCCTCTGACCCTGTTTAAAAAGCAGCTTGGGTTGCAACAGATCTGCTGAAATTTTATATGGCCTTTTACTTCAGGGACTTTGAAACTAGCATTGTTGATTTTTCCTTTTTCCTGGCAGTCCTCTGTCCTGTTTCCCTAGTGTTTTATATTCACTGTCTAGATGATTTTAAATACAGTAGCTGTTGGTACAGAAGCCCTTTCGACTTCCCGCGTAGCCTGAGCTATAGGTATGTTTTCTTTCTGAAAGTAAGCAAACACATTGAGAGCAGAAGCGGAATGGCTTTGTTGTCAGCAGAGAGGGAAACTCCACCAGCCCCTAAAGTGCCACAACCTCTGCTGTGTCGAAACATCCGTGTCTCCAACAGACAGGTCTCTGTGTTACTGAGGCACCGTCCAGGATCCGAGTGTCTGTTTGTTATCCAAAGGGCATAAAAGGGAAATCAAACATTCTTTCATATCATTCTAAGCCCTGTGCAAACACAGCCTCGCGGACAAAGGCCCTTCCCGAGCCCATAACAAGGAGCCGTTTGTCCCGGCTGCCTGCATCTAGCAGTCGGAGCGGGGCTGAGCTAAGAGTGGTGTCCTGTGCCCTGCTGCGGCTTTGCTTTCTTGGACCAAAATGTTGCAGGTGTCATGGGACAGAGTTCACCATGCGGAAGGTGAATCAGAGCACCCGTATTGGGAGCCTTCAGCAAATGCCACGTCAAACAATCTGAGGGCTGTGAGGTAAACTGACAAAGAAATCGCACCCAAGCACGGAAAAGTGATCAAACGATCATTTAGTATGTTTGCCTTTGTGCATGGGGGTTAGCCACGAATGCCGGCATCAGGACTCGTGTCTGCCTGCGTCTGACGCAACCAAAGAAAAAGCCTGAGCTTAGGATAAGATATCTTCATTCTCACTCCCTGGAAGAACACAGACTTAACAATGCAGCATCTGCATACTAACGAGAGTTGGTTTCTTCTCCCAAAAATATTTTGATCCGTTAAACCCAGGCCTGTGTGTTTTTCAGGCTTCTCGGGTACACTGAGTCCATTTGTTCTGTCTTCTAGAGCTGTGTTGTCCCATACAGCAGCCACATTCTGCACAAGGCTGTCGAGTCCCTGCAGTGTGGTTCATCTGAATTGTGACGTGCTGTAAAGACAAAATACTTTTTGGATTTTGAAAATTTAGCACAGGAAAATGTAAACTATCTGAATAATTGTGTTATATTAAACTACAGGTTGGACATTTTGGCTCTATTGGGTTAAATAACATACATTATTAAAATCAGTTAACCTGTTTCTTTTTACTTCTTTTAATGTGGCTACTGGAAAATTTTTAAATCACGCCTGGCTCCTGTTTGCAGAATATTAGCGCTGGGCCAGCACTTGAAGGAAGTTTGGGTTTGTAGCGCCATCTGCTGGCTGTCTGAGGCAGACTCACGTGTAAGCGAGGATTAAGCAGACTGAGCTGGGAAACACCTTATCTCTTGGCCTGGCAACATGGAACCTTCCTTTTCCAGGAGCTTCAGAAGCAGGACCAGAAGGGCACCCAAAGCCCCCGAATTATCAAGAGCCTTGGGAAGGATGGTATCAAACTGCTCGAAGGTGCAAACCCGTGTTCTTCACCTCGTGGGTGCCGAGGAGGCCCTAGAGATAGACAGTCTGGGTTCACCCCTCACCTTTTGCACTCGGAGCTTTTATAGGCACTCCTTTTCCTGGGTTGTGTTTCTTAAGAAATGTTTCAAACAGCAATAGGGTTATAATCAAGCATTTAACAATACAGGGAGGACACAGATCCAGCCTCAGGAAACTGGTATCCTCTCTTTAGATAATGCTTAATTTACCTTGATTCGTCAAGACTTTGAAAGTAGAAATTTTGCTGATAAGGTCCCTGCATCACTTCTCTATTGTTGCACAGTAAACCAAAAACTTACTGGCTTAAGACAATAATCACTTAACCTCTCTCAGTTTCTGTGACACATGTAAATGCAAGTCAGGAATCCAGGAGTGGCCCGTCTGAGCAGCTCTGGTTCAAGCTGTCTCATAAAGGTGAAGTCAGATGTGGGCTGGAGCTGCCTCATCCGAAGGTTTGACTGGGGCTAGAGGCTCCATTTCCAAGGGGGCTCATTCACAAGACTGGCGAGGTGATGCTGGCTGTTGGCTGCAGGCTCCTCTCCACCTGGGCCTCTCCACGGAGCTGCTTACATGTCCTCAAGTCATGGCAGCTGGTTCCCTCCAGCAGGCAGTGTAAGAGGCCCAAGGGGAAGATGCAGTTCCCTTTGTGACCTAGCCTCAGAAATTACACGTCATTACTTCCGTTGCATTCTGTTGGTCAAAAGGCAGGAAAAGTCATCCTACCTCTTAGTAAAGGAATGTCAACATTACATGGTAAAAGGCAATGTGAGGGCCAGGCACAGTGGCTCACGCCTGTAATCCTAGCACTCTGGGAGGCCAAGGCAGGCGGATTGCTCAAGGTCTGGAGTTCAAAACCAGCCTGAGCCAAGAGTGAGACTCCGTCTCTACTAAAAATAGAAAGAAATTAATTGGCCAACTAAAAAAAATATATAGAAAAAATTAGCTGGGCATGGTGGCACATGCCTGTAGTCCCAGCTACTTGGGAGGCTGAGGCAGCAGGATTGCTTGAGCCAAGGAGTTTGAGGTTGCTGTGAGCTAGGCTGACACCATGGCACTCTAGCCCGGGGAACAGAATGTGAGATGGGATGGCTATTTTTGGAAAACACAATCAGCCACGTGCCAAACACTTGTATAACACTATACAGCAAAAAAAAAAAAAAAATGCCCCACTTTTCAGATGAGGAAATTAAGGCTCAGAAAGAGAATGACTTGCCTGAGGTCTCATGACTGGTGAGGAGGATTAAAGCCAGTTCTTTTGACTCCTGGTCCACACTGGTGGAGCCCATCCAGGTTATCTCCTTGTCCCGCCCTGATGCTGTTGTAACTAAGACTCACACTGATGGTTGTGTTTTTCCAACATCTTCAAGATATGTGGGGCTCTCTTCATTCAAGTACTTTAGATAAGTCTTTTGTTATCTCCCTATAATCTGTCATTTCATTGAGTTAGGCTATGTATCTTATGGAAGTAGATTTCAGCTAACTATAGAGTCTTTACGAGAGTGCTACAGCAGTGGAAGATCACACATTTTCCAATATTTTCCATGCCTTCTGCTTCAAAAATCTCAGGCATGATAACATTATAACATTTATGTGTTCTTAATTCTGTTTGATTACCCAAATATTACATCTTACTTGTACTTGAACAGGAAAGAATTCATCACTACTTGGTTTCAGTAGTGTCTATATTACTTGGTCATCTTAAAAAGGAGGTTGTACCATTTTTTGATGTCTGACCTTCCATAATTAAAACTAAAATCCACCTGCCATGCTCATATTCTGTTATTCTTGGTTTCAGGTCAAACTTCCTTTTCCTGTAGATCAAATCACAGATCTTCCAAGGAACGATTTCCAGATGATGATTAAGATGCACAAGCTAACCTCAGAGCAGTTAGAGTTCATTCACGACGTCCGGCGGCGCAGCAAGAACCGCATCGCAGCCCAGCGCTGCCGCAAGAGGAAACTGGACTGTATTCAGAATTTAGAATGTGAAATCCGCAAATTGGTGAGTTGTGATCAGCAACCCGAAGTGGCCAGAATTAATGAAAAGTTACAGCAGTGAAGGTTGAAAAAGTAGAGAGAAGGGGCACCCTTCAGGGAAGTTTGGGGTTACTTTTAAACAGATTTATCAACAGCAATAATAGGTTTACATCTGCAGGGTGTGTGTAGTGCAGGTGTGCCATAGTCTGTCAATATTTTACATCCTTCAGCCATTCTATAAAGGTAGCTCTTTTTTATTTTCCAGTTGACATAGAATAATAGCTGATGTTTATTGCCTGCGTCTGTGGGCCAGGTAGTCTTCTAAACTGTTTCTGTGGAATCACATTCAATCCTCACACTCACCCTATGACTTAAGGTCTGTTTTATCCTGTTTACAGAGGAGGAAACTAGAACGCAGAGAAATTAGGTAACTTCCCAGTACACAGTAGGGCTTGAATGCAAACGCAAGTGTGTGATTGCGGATTATATGTTTCTTACCACTGCTTTCTCCTGCCTCCCAGCAGAAGAGTGTAGGTTAAAGATAGATTCCCCCATTGCTCAGCCGGATGATCTCATGGTGCCCTCTGCAGCCCCAGAGTCCTTGCTCTTGCAATTCTGCCTCAGAGTGACTGCCTGCTCTTTCCTGTGCCTGGGAGTGTTTTGTCTCAGGGAACAGACCTCCCCATACTCAGAGCTACGTGCCCCCACTCCTTCTCCTTGAGAAGCAACCTTAAGCTACAGGAAATACATGCAGGCGGCCTCTTGCTCCTGGTTGTAGCTTTGAAGGCAATCGAGGGGTCGCCCTCCTTCATCTCAACTTTTCTGTTGGCCAAATACTGGACACTTGTCTCAGGTGCCATGTCCGTGTCAAGCTGAAGAAGAGGGAGGCTGCATACTGTGATCCTGATCCAAGTTTGGGTCCTCAGACTACTTGCTACAGTCTTCTGCCTCATGGAAAGCCACTGTCCTGATGAGAACCTAAGAGCGAGGATGAGATGTTTGAAAAGCACAAGAGAATGGCATGTGTTATCATCAAGAGAGCCCTGGACTTCAGGGTCTTTTTTTTTTTTTCTTTATTAATGCCCACCAAGCAGGGAAAATCTGCCTGTGTGCCATAGCTTCCTTCCCCAGCAAAGTCAAGCCCAAGCTCCTTAGCAGGATCCCTGCCCTCAGGTTCACAGTCTGTAGTTGCTCCTCCAGCGTCACCTCCCACAACCTTCCTAGGGCTTGACCCACGATAAGATCAGATTGCCTGCAGTGCCCCACCTCTCCTGCTGTCTTACACCTCTGCGCTTGTGCCATGCCCTTCCCTCTGCCTTGGGCATTCCTCTGCTTCTCTGACCCGCTCTGTTGTTTAAGAGTCATGTTATGGGCCGGGCGTGGTGGCTCTCGCCTGTAATCCTAGCACTCTGGGAGGCTGAGGTGGGTGGATCCCTCAAGGTCAGGAGTTCGAAACTAGCTTGAGCAAGAGTGAGACCCCCTGCCCCATCTCTACTAAAAATAGAAAAAAAAAATGCAAGACAACTAAAAATGTATAGAAAAAATTAGCCAGGCATGGTGGCGCATGCCTATAGTCCAGGCGTAGTTAGACTACGGCCCGCAGGCCACATGCGGGTGCTTTTGCCCGTCTGTTTTTTTACTTCGAAATAAGATATGTGCAGTGTGCATAGGAATTTGTTCATACTTTTTTTAAAACTATAGTCTGGCCCTCTAACGGTCTGAAGGACAGTGAACTGGCCCCCTGTTTAAAAAGTTTGAGGACCCCTGCGTAGTCCCAGTTACTTGGGAGACTAGAGGCTAAGCAGGAGGATCACTTGAGCCCAGGAGTTTGAGGTTGCTGTGAGCTAGGCTGACGCCACGGCACTCTAGCCCGGGCAACAGAGTGAGACTCTGTCTCAAAAAAAAAAAGAGTTATGTCACTAATCACCTCTCCAGGAAGCAGGGCAACTTTCCCGAGTTCCCAGTCAGGCCGGGCACCTGCCCTTGGAAGCCTGACCTGACCGCTGGCTTGGTGCCTATCACTTAGTCTTGAATTATCTGCGTATGTGCTTGTCTCCCCAGCCCCCGGCCCTCCACTCTAGGTTCCTCAAGGGCAAGGACGGTATCCTGATCATCTCTGAATATCCAGTGTTGGGCTCTGAGGGAATGCCCCTCAGATTGCCCCTAAAATTTACTGGAAATTGTGACTCTTCAGATATGGATATTATGAATTTCTTCTTTCTTTAAAATTTTTCTGTAATGTCTTAACAACAAGAAAATTTAAGTTAAACCACATAAGGAAAGGAGGCATGCCTGCTGGAGAGTGTGGGTCTTCTGAAGGCCCACTGGGAGCAGGTAGCTGAGCCCACCAGCTGTGAGTATATCAGGTCTTGGACATGTCTGTAGTAATTCTTGCCCTGCGCTCCTCTTCAAGTAGTAGAGTAGTTGCGATCACCCGTATTTGAGAAATGCCTGGTTTTAGTAGTTAGCATCTGCTCGGCGTGATTTTGCAACACTGCGCAAATAAAATCTAAGCCACGCACCAGGCAGATATCTCAAGCACTTTGCTCACTGATAAACCAAGAGGGCACCTCCTAGTTCTCCACCCACTTTGGGGCAACTCCTTAAATAATACGCTGCGCGTCAGTGCTGACGAGAGTTCCACATGCCCATCAGTGTGTTCATCAGTGACTTAGAGCTTCATGCTCTTGACCAAGGTGTGATTTTTACTGCCTTTCCCGCAGAGAGCCAAAACACCACCATGTAGGGCACCTCATTTTCTTCCCCCTAGACAGTGGCCGGGAGCATTTATCCGATGAGCAGGCCTGGAGAGGTCAGTGCGTTGGCCGAGACGATGGGCTGGAATTGAACCTGGGATTCCTCTCCTGATGCCCAGCAGTGTCGCCCCCCACCCACATTGCAGATTTCCAGGTTGAAAGGAGGGAGGTCCAGGGTGCATGGCCACGTATATAACATTTCTTTCCCCAAGGAGACCTCCCAGATGTGCTTTGTTTCTTATCACCCTGGTCTGAGTGGTGGGGAGGGTGCTGGCGGGCGGGCAGCTGCCGTGTCGCGGGGTCCCCAGGGGCCCGCGCACCCTCCCCTCTCCCGTCTCCCACGCCCCCGCCGCTCAGCTGCTGCAGCCTTGCATAATGTATTTCTCTCGAGTTGTACTCGTACATCTGTTTATTTTTCATGTTTAAAACATGTTTTCTTGATAAATTTATAAATATTTTAGCAGGTGCCCTTTCCCCAAGTAAATCTCTCTCCGACACACACGCCCACGCTGCCTGCCAGATTGCGTTTGTGCTACGGCGTGTGCAGCTCCCGTAGGGGACCCGGCCCTTGGGCGTGTCGTGTGCCCATTGCTCTCCATCTACCCGCCCCTCCTTTTATCTCCCATCCTCACCTCGACCGCAGGCCCAGGGTAGGTGAGGACTCGCCTCACCCTGCTGCCAGGACCACTTTCTTCATCCCTTCAGCCTCCTCACCTCTCCTCCACAAATACGATGGTAACCCTTAGTTACTCTCCTCTCTGGGAATGAATTCATCCGTCCCATGGGGTGATGGATTTTAGTGACACAGAGCATCTGTAGGATTTTGTTTAAGGGGGAAACATCTCAGAACTTGGGCTGGGACGTGAAGGCTCAGGCTCCACGCGTCTGTCCCCCCTTCCACGCCCAGCGCGAGTCACCACTCGAGGTTCGCTGCTCACCTCCCAGCTGTCCCCAAGGGCATTCGCCATGGTCCATCAAAGCTGCTACCCAGGCCAGAGAGCCTGCTGGTGTTAGGTTGAACCATACGGAATTGCTGATGGCTGACTTTTTTGGTTTAGTTTTCTTAAATATAGACTCAGTTTTTTAGGAGCAATTTTAGGTTGACAGCAAAGTTGAACAGAATATATAGGGAGTTCCCACACGCACAGCCTCCCCGACTATCAGCACCCCCACCAGAGTGGCACCTGTGCAGCGACTGATGAGCCTACACTGACACATCATTACTGCCCAGAGCCCATAGTTTACATCAGGGTCCACTCTTGGTGCAGTACATTCTACGGGTTTGGACAAATGTATGATAACGTCTGTCTACCGTTACAGTGTCACACAGGCCAGTTTCACTGCCCCAGAAATCCTCTGTGCTCTGCCTGCTCATCCCTCCCGACCTTTACGAGCCCTGGCAACCTGGTCTTCTTATCCCCTTAGTTTCGCCTTTTCAGAATGTCGTGTCGTTGGAATTAGTCCATTTTTGTCCTTCAGAAATGGCAACCTGATTCATTTGGGGGAGGTTTTCAACCACAAGATTTGGGAGTCAGAGCGTTCCAGTTAATTCTCTACAAACCCCAAATTTCCAGGAAACCAGAACATTGAGTCCCTGAAGTTTTTTGGTTGGTGGTTGTTTGCTGGCCGCTTGCCTGGGCCTCAGAGAGGGAAGAAGAGACATCAGCAGCACCTCCAAATGGGTGGCTCACTTAGGACATGGGGCAGGAGCGTGTGTCCAGGCTCCATGGACGTGCGTCTTTCACGTTTCTAGACCCTGACCTGGTCATCCATGAGTTACATTGCAATGTAGGATGCAGAACCAGGGACTGGAAAACCCCCAGACACAAGGCCTTGTGTCCTCCACTTAGGGCTTGATGGAACCTTGTCTTTTCTCGTCTGTTGTCCAGGTGTGCGAGAAAGAGAAGCTGTTGTCAGAGAGGAATCAGCTGAAAGCGTGCATGGGGGAACTGTTGGACAACTTCTCCTGCCTCTCCCAGGAAGTCTGCCGAGATATCCAGAGCCCCGAGCAGATCCAAGCTCTGCACCGGTACTGCCCTGTCCTCAGACCCATGGATCTCCCCACAGCCTCCAGTGTTAACCCCGCACCCTTGGGTGTCGAGCAGAACCTTGCAGCCTCCCAGTGTGCAGTGGGGGAAAATGTGCCCTGCTGCTTGGAGCCCGGCGCGGCTCCCCCCGGGCCCTCCTGGGCACCCAGCAACGCCTCCGAGAACTGTACCTCCGGGAGGAGGCTGGACGGCACTGACCCGGGAAACTTCTCAGAGAGAGGACCTCCTCTTGAACCCAGAAGCCAAACAGTGACCGTGGACTTCTGCCAGGAAATGACTGATAAGTGTACAACTGACGAACAGCCCAGGAAAGATTTCACCTAATGACTCGGATCTGCCTCCCAGTCCTCACACCTCTCCCATCCAGGTGTTCTTCAGCCAGCCTGTGGCACTGTTCATCTGTTGTCTTGAAGAACCAAGAACGAAATTGGTGCACACTACAGCGGTCTTAGCAGCAATACTGTTCCGAAGTATTCCCTCCTTCTTCAAGCAGGAGTGCTAGATAGTTACCTTCACAATGGTGCTACCCCTTGCTCAGGCGAGGAAAGACGACAGTGGCGACACTGTCTGTCTGTGGCTTAATTCAGTCTTCACAGGGATAGACTACAACACCTCTAGGACCCAACCACGGATTTTTTTTCTCAGTGGCCCATGTCACAAACCCTATCTCAGGAATTTCTTCTGAATGTTCAATTTTTTTCATTGAAGACAGCTTCTATACACATCAAAGTTTTATAGCTAGACTGTACATATTATATATAATATATATAAAAATATATATATCCATATGCAAAAGTCCTGCATGCCTCAATTTTCTCATCCTAAAACTGGAAACTTCATTTCTCATTTATAAACAGGTTCCAACATTCCTCTTATTTTGTCTCTGATGCTAGAACTAGATTGGTAACTGTTAACATGGTCATTTTTCTTGCTTCGCAGTTCAATTCAATTGTACTTATTTATGGACAAAATTCAATGTTGGAAGCTTTTTTTTCAAGGTTTTATTTTGGACCTTTTTTGTTTGTTTGTTTGGTTTGGTTTGGGCCCCACCAAATGGTGTCATTTGAGCATTGTGGGTTTGTTTTTTGTTTTGGGGGATTTGTTTTTTTTCCTTGCAGATACTGTACAGTAATGGTCAACTTCGCCACTTGCACTGAGTTTTGGGTCAAACCTATTTTCTTAAATGAAGTTGTAACTTCAGTATAACTCAAGTATACTGTATATTCTTTGCTTTTAGTTAAAAAGTAAAACATTTTAGCTAATTAAAAAGCACTCAGGTGATAATTATGTAGGAAAAACAATCTTGCCAAATAATGAATTCATCCTAGGATGTGTAGACAGTAATCTGCTTGAATATTTTTATATTTCACCTCCTCCCCACCTTTCCCTAAGCAAAGTTTAAATGCAGATAGAGAGTTCAGAGTTGATGCTGGATGTTCAGATTCCTAAGTGGGGAGAGTTTGGACAGCTCACTCAAAAGTCCATCAAAACAGCAGGAATCCATGCTTTTAGACCAGAACTCAGCAGGCATTGGCTCCTAGCAATCCAGTTAGAACTGTTTTCTCACCCAGGGAGTAAGTCCCATTCATTTCAACACTTCGTCAGGACTCAGCCTGCTCTTGGAAATGTTGTGCAGTAGAACCTTCTCCTCTGAAGGACACGGCTGGCCAGCCACCCTGCCCTCCTACCCAGGATCAGCCTCCCAGGACATCTTGCCTGAGGGGATTTGAACCGCAGCCTCAAGGGTCCTGCCCTTAAGGGGCAGTGCCCGGGTTACTGGGGCTCACCCAGTGTAGGAGAGAGCAGGGCAGACTCGAGCCTGAGAGCCATCCCTTCTACGGGCTGACACATTTCTTTCTCCTTTCCTTCTCCAGATGCTTTGAGTTGTATTCTGAGGTTCTTCTGCCCGTCTCTTGTCTAAAGGCAGACTTCATTCTGAGGCTTTGGACGAGACATCACCAGGAGCCCTCCCTGTTTCCTTCCCCAGTCACACACGTACCCTCCCCTCGCTTGATAATTTTCTTCTCTTGCTGCAAAACTGGTTGGCTTGCAACCCAGAGAGAGCAGCTTCCCTTGGCTCTGGGGCCGTGTGGGCCCCTGGGCACGTTTACAGGAAGGTGTGCCCCAAAGGAGGAGGAATCAGCTCCCTCCCTCCGATGGTCCCAGGCCTCCCTCGGCCTCAGTGCTGAGGGCCACTCCAGCCTGGCTGGGGAAGAGAGTCCTGGGCGGTTTGATGTGGGGATGGGGTGGTGGGCAGTGGGGAATAGATGGTTGACTTTGTTTCTTTATTTGTGCCATTGTTTGGACAATATTAAAGCTGCATGTAAAAGGGGAAATTAGTATATGATGTAGGCAAAAAGTGAAATCATAGTAACATATGTTTTAGTATTATTAACTTTTTTCTGTACAAATATTAGCGCTAAATGTTTAAATATGTATGAATGCCAGAAATGTGTTGGTTCATGCAGTAGGATAAAAAAAAAAAAAGGCTTTTCTTTTAAAATGGTTCCACTTTTAAAACCTGCCTCTGGGTTTTTGTTTTTTCTCATGTGTGTATGTACGTATGTGTGAGACAGATTTTGATAAAGCTCTGTGTTGGAGCTACTGTTTTTGTTATGGTTGTTGGAATTTCTTGGCCTAGTAGAACAGTTCTGTGCTTCACCATGAGTTTGCCTTTGTAGAAAACTGGTGACAGCTAGAATTTAAACTCAATGTGAACCACGTGATACTTAACAGGTATGTGTTATGATGGAGGAGTCAGCGGACAGTATTTTGTTTTTTAACTCTCTTGTTGCCTTTTTAAGTGACCTCTTCTCTTCTTTTAAAAAAGGAATGTTTTCTGCTCATATCATAACCAGGTCCAAACCAGCTTCCTGGCATGATTTACCCTGGTGACAACTCACATGCAACTAGTAGTCTTGACCACATTCCACCCGTTTCCCCAGGCTTCTGTGGTTCCTCAGCCCAGACCTGGGTGGCAGCCATTTCCGGGAGGGCTGGAGTCTCTTTATTCCTCCCCTAACTCTCTCCTCCTCCCACCAACCCCTGCCATAGGAACTGGTTAGACGCAATGCTCTAAAAACTGTCTTTCTCTTTCTTAGGGATTTTTTAACAAGTTATTTCATTCATTATCCACCGTGAACAGTGACTAGCTTTGTGCAGTTGTTCATGTGATGTGTGTGTGTCTTTTACTGTTCTGAACTATGTGCTTGTCGAAATTATTTCTGGGTTGGTTCGAAAGGAGGACTTGCTGGGGACCGGAATCCAAATTGCCTCACGTGGAATTTAAAACCCAGCCTGTGTCTCCTTTCCCTGAGATCCTTTAGTCAACCCCATGCCTTTTATGAACATGAAAAGCAAGTGAATAGCAAGGAACAGTGTTCGCCCAATTTGGTGACATTGAATTGTGTCTTTAAGGACCCTCCCACCATGGGCTGTTTAGAAGGATCCCAGTGACAGCCTGCTGGGCTCTCTAAATGGCTGGGGTAGGAATGGTTGCTGGGGCAGAGCCAGTGGAGGTGACCCTGAGACTAATTAGCATCCCACCTAAGTCTAGCCCTCCCCTGGGATCTGCCTTGGTCTTACTTGTTTCTCCAGACAACCTCCCTTCATCCAAATTGGTCAGGCTTTGGGCAGGCAAGTGCTTTGCTATATGTGTTTGTTTCTCTGCGTTATCTGGGGGTGCCTTGAATAAAATTGAACTTCATTACATACTGATTCTGGAACAAAACAGTTACAAAAGCTTAAAAAAAAAAAAAAAAACTGGCAAAATTACTAGGCCATCCTGCTACTTCTCTTCTGAGTTTCCTAACAATGACTCAGGCGTCAGAGGTGATGCTGCAGTAGAAAACATTATTTTGTATGTTGTACAAGTAATTTATTAACTGTCTTTCTAAAGGTATGCTGCTTTTAAGATGCACTATAATTTTGGATGTAATCCTTGTATTGCTTTTCCAAGGAAATAAAAAAAAAAAAGGCTAGCGATCAGTATGCCAACTGCCACTACTCCTTCAAAAGGAGCCCGGGACCAGCCGCAGGACTGCGTGAGAGGACTGGCTAAAGTTAAGTGTGCACAATGTGAAGTTTAATACTATTGTCAAGAGGCCTAAACCCACACTTTCGCTTTTAATATTTTATGGTTGTTATTCAAGAAGAAAAAGAAGAAACAAACAAACATTTGAATATGATAAGCCTTTTAAGAAACTGAAAAATCCTGTCCCAGGAAGCTGCTCTAGATCTTACGGAGTAGCATAATCCTCTTAAAATGAGTAAAAGCCGCCTGCAAAGTTTTTCAAATCCCCCTTTGGACACCTATTTCTATACATTATGCCCTATTTAAACTAGGAGCTGACTTCAAACTCTGCTCCACTGTTGCTTACAGTGTAGGAGTCGTCTCAGATCTACAAGGGAGCGAGAATCAAGTTTGGTCCTCAAATCACTGTAAATAGAGTAAAGAACAAGATTTTCTTAAAAAAGGAATAAAGCTATCCACTGTATCATGAGTTAGTGTCTCTTCCCAAAATTGAGGATTTTGTTGTAAGTTCAATTTCTGGCAAGTCAGTCCACAATACAACGCCTTGTGTGGGGCTGGTATTCATACAGGAAGTCTGTGTGCATGGAGGCATTCTGTGTTCAAAGTGTATGTTTATAATACTGCCCGAGCCATCTCATGACCCAAGCATCAAAGACTGATGCTGTAGAATAGAATTTATTTGTACACAAATAGTGTGTGCAAATAGTATTTGTACATAGAAAAGACTTATTGTGGCAGATTAAGGATAAGTTATTCAACAGACGGTGCAAAAACATTACTTGCAAAGAAAAGTAAGTTTATAGTATTTTCCTACACTCCATCCTGGGAGATAGTATTTATATCAAATGATTATCAGTGCATTTTAATTGTAATATGAAAATGATGCTGCCATTTTGTGAAGAATTCCCACTTGGTTGCAGAGGCCAACTTTCATAGCTTTGATTTATGTTGTGACATGGTGTATGCATTTTGCTATCAAGCAATGGATAGACAACTCTGACTTTCACTTTCATTCCAGTTTATTGACCTCAGATAAAAACACTGGCCCTTCTTAGAAGCAGAAGTGCACAAAGACCATTCATTTCAGGTAGACTCGAATTCAGTGCCAAATGCTCCCATGGGGATAATCAGACATGTACATTGGGAAAGAGTGAAGGGACTTGGACAAAGAGGGGTTTGCCTACAGATTGATGCTAAGTCTTCTACCAAAACATGCCTGGAGACAGAGGGGGACCTCCGCTTGAGTCCTAACAGTGCATCGTGCATGTGCGAATGCTGGGATGCCCATTCACGCTCTGACATCGAAGACATGGCACTTCTGGTGAGTAATCAGGAAGATTCCATGTGCATTTGGGAGCTTCAGGTGCTTGTTAGACACAGGGAGCCACTCAAGGCAAGCACCGCCTTTGCTTGTGAGGCCAAGAGGGCCTGTGAGAATTTGTTCCAGAACCAGTCTGATGCAAGTGCACCTCTAATATATGCCTTACAAACTCCAGAGGCCATATTCAAAACAGGGTCTTCTCAGTGTATGCAAGGGGCTGCATCCCCTCTTCTCTTCCTCCCCAGGTCGAACAATACGGACAGTTTTCACACATATCTACCTGTATAACCCTCTGTACCTCTCATAACTGGTCAACGACTGTAACAGGTTACATCAGGTGTTTTTCTACATACTTTTTACACAGATTCTATGCGATTAATGTAACTTAATTCAATGCATCATTTTATTGTACTAGTTCTTAGGCTTGTCCTTATTTTTTTTCTAAGTGATTGTGGTTTTTCTTGTGGTTTTTATTGTAAAAATGAAAGGCTGTTGATGCTTATTCTCTGTAACTAAGAATTTTTACCTTTTGGGGAAAAAAAACATTGCTATGAACTAATGAATTTAAACTTCATTTACTCATTGTAAATACACTATTGTGCAAAAAAAAAAAATTTTCACTCAATTGAATTGCTAGTGTTAAATGAATTTTGTCTAGACACCATTTCTGTTGACGAAATAAAGACATATCATTATGCATTGTAAATTGATTTTCTCTGCCTCTGATCCCTGAGTTCCAGATTACAGAGCAGGAAGCCTCAGGAAATCTTTTTTGCTAAAGGGGCCCTTTCTCTTCCTCTAGTTTGTACCCTTACCTGATACCTGATTAATCTCATTAGAAATCTTAAAAACTTGACAATGCTAATGTGATTCCTAAATTCTGAATTTAAAAAATCCCTAGTGCCTTTGAGAGTAGACAAAGGCATTAAACCCAATATCTTGGTTTTGACATTGTACTATTGCTATGCAAAATGTTACCATTGGGGAAAACTGACTGAAGCATACTGTTTCTTGCAACTGCATGTGATCTACAATTATATCAAAATAAAAGATTTAACTTTTAAAAAACCAAATGAAAGTAAATGAAGAAAAAGGCATTAAACCAACACCAAGATACAATGAGCTGCAGGGAAAGGAGTTTAGAATTATGGCTGGGTAGTAAGTATAGTCACATGTCACTTAATGACAGGGATACATTCTGAAAAATGCATCTTAGGCAATTTTGTTCTTGTGCAAACATCATAAAGTACTCACACAAACCCAGATGGTATTTCCTACAGCACCAGTAGGCTATATGGTATAGCCTATTGCTCCCCGGCTACAAACCTGAACCACGGGGGGAGGGGGGGCATGGGCCATATACGTAACCTTAACACTTGTACCCCCATAATACGCTAAAATAAAAAACTAAAGGAAAAAAAAAAAACCTGAACCGCATGTTACTGTACTGAATACTGTAAGAAACTGTAACACAATGGTAAGTATTGGTGCTATCTAAACATAGAAAAGGTACAGTAAAAATATGGTATTATAATCTGATGGGACTACTGTCCTATATGCAGTCCATCATTGACCAAAATGAACAGTTAAAAAAGTGTATTTCCTAGTTTGTGTCAGATTTTGATGTAAAGGGAAAACAGGATATTGAATGGTGGGCAAACCAATAGCCATGAGTAGCACTGGATTGGAGCCCTGAGGTGAGAGAAACCCCTAGAGCAGAGCAGGAAGAGTCTGGTTTAGCCATCAGCGAGCCTGCGAGTAATGACTGCAGGGCAGTGCTGTGCTGCCCAGATCCAAGTTTCAAGAAGTGCAAGGGATCAGGCCTTATCCCACCCACCAGGTGGGAAAACTGAAATTAAAAGCTGCTGAATTCTGCTCCCTTGGGCAAGTCTCCCTGAGCACCTATTGAGTCAAGGAGGGCTTCCCAGAGGGCATTTAATGGGTTTTGCAAATGTGTTCTGAAAACATCACAGTTATAATAACATTTTTGGTGCAAGAGGTAGATTACCTTTACCTGAAGACATGAAGTTATTCAATCCATTCTGAAGAAAACAGGTGAGTCAAAATCCCAAATTTTTCTATAGGAAAACCTGGTAATTTAGAACTGATTGTCACTTGCACCTTCAACCCAACAGTCATGGCTTGAAACAGAATAAACCTCACCAGCCGTTGCATCCTGCACAAGGGAAGTGTTCATGTGCTGTCCAGCCCAGATGGACGGCAGCCGTTCTCTTCCCTGCTCTGCATGTGCTCTGTATGAGCAATTCGTATCTGCTTCTGGGTGCAGCGAGGACTGGTTCCCTCTACAACTCGAATATATGCCTTAGGATCTCCAGAGGCCCTGCCAGCAGTTTTGTTTCATGTATTTGGAAATAACTGAGATGTTCTCTGAAATAGTTTTAGAATTTTTTACTCTTCTCTAACCTGCCAACCCATCCCCTCAATTGGGATGCATTAGCAAGATTGTACTTGATTTTTTTTTTTTTTTTTTGAGACAGGATCTCTGTTACCCAGGCTGGAGTACAGTGGCATCAATCAGAACTGACTGCAACCTCCAATTCCTGAGTTCAAACAATCCTCCTGCCTCAGCCTCCCAAGTAACTGAGACTATAGACACATGCCACTGCACCCAGCTAAGTTTTTTTATTTTTGTAGAGACAGGGTCTCACTATGTTGCCCAGGCTGGTCTCAAACTCCTGGCCTCAAGCAATCCTCCCACCTTGGCCTCCCCACGTGCTGGGATTACAGGCATGAGCCAGTGGCCATGGGACAGAGGATGGAGGAGCTAAGTGGCTCCTGTCATGAGAATTGAGCCTATGTTTGTGGCTCTCAGAACTCAGAACAAGCAACAATCAGCTAAGCAGCCTCACAGTTGGCTAGTTAGTACACAGCACATGGCCATCCTGCATCTCTGTGCCCTAACAAATGCCAAGTGCTTTTTTTTTTTTTTTGAGACACAGTCTCGCTTTGTTGCCCAGGCTAGAGCGAGTGCCGCGGGATCAGCCTAGCTCACAGCAACCTCAAACTCCTGGGCTCAAGCAATCCTCCTGCCTCAGCCTCCCGAGTAGCTGGGACTACAGGCATGCGCCACCATGCCCGGCTAATTTTTTTCTATATATATTAGTTGTCCAATTAATTCATTTCTATTTATAGTAGAGACGGGGGTCTCGCTCTTGCTCAAGCTGGTTTCGAACTCCTGACCTTGAGCAATCCGCCGCCTCGGCCTCCCAGAGTGCTAGGATTACAGGCATGAGCCACCATGCCCAGCCGCCAAGTGCTTTTTTTTTTTAATTTCAGAGTATTACGGGGGTGCAAATGCTTTTTTTTCCAGAATATTATGGGGGTACAAACACTTTGGTTACATATACTGCCTTTGCACTGCCTGAATCAGAACTACAACCATGCCCATCCTCCAGAAAGTATGCACCACACCCCTTCAGTGTGAATTTACCCATCCTTTCTTCCCCCTCCACCTGCCCAACACCTAATGAATGTTACCACTGTATGTGCACATAAGTATTGATCAATTAATACCAATTTAATAGTGAGTACATGTGGTGTTTGTTTTTCCATTGTTGTGACACTTCACGTAGAAAAATGGGCTCCAGCTCCATCCAGGATAATACAAGAGGTAGTTCATTTTTTTATGACTAATACCCCATGGTATACATACACCACATTTTATTAATCCACTCATATATTGAGGGGCACTTGGGTTGTTTCCACATCTTTGCAATTGTGAATTATGCTGCTATAAACATTTGAGTACATATGTCTTTTTTATAGAATGTCTTTTTTTCCTTTGGGTAGATACCCAGTAATGGGATTGCTGGATCAAATGGTAGTTCTACTTTTAGTTCTTTGCGGTATCTCCATACGACTTTCCACAGAGGTGGTTGCCAAGTGCTTTTTGATGTACCTCTCCTGGATGGCTTGGGACCACTGGGCGAGTAGAGAGAGTGAGGAAGAGGTACTGGCTTCTACCACTCCCCAGGAAGCACCTGTTGGGCCACAACCTTGGCATCACCACTGATGATGAATGACCCCAGCTGGATACAATAAAATCACATGAGTGTTTGCCAGTGTTGTAATCAATATTTTATTTCCATGGCATTTACTCAGTAAAAATTCAACTGGTTCAGCCCCAAGAGATGAAATGATGAGAGGAAGAGAATGGAAAAGCTTCTCATCGACCTCTTCTTTATAGACAGGAGCATAGCTCCAGGCCTGCTCTGGACCCATGTTTAAGGGGCCAACTGCTACTGTTGCCGCCACTGCAGAGCTGGGGCAGCAGCAGCCACGAGAGAGATGGTCTCTGATGATGCACAGCTCCTCCCTGCACTCGCACTTGACCTGCCTCAAGCAGTGTGGCCGGGTGGGGCAATCAGGGGTTGACCCCAGCCCCATCAGGGAAGGGTCTCCTGCGGAGGGGAGCCCAGGCTGGGAGCACACTGTTCACAGCCCATTACCTGGCGGTTGTCTCTGTGGAGCCTGTGGGTCCCCAAGTTCTTCCTGCAGTTTGTGCTGACAAAGACACAACTTTCCTCCTACAGATACCTGCTGCTCCTGGTGCATTATTTTTTCATAATAGATGAAAGTTCTAGAAGCATATTCTGAAAGAGATAGGAAGCCAAAAAATAACCAGACTCAAAGGGGTTGTAAAAGTCAGCTCTGCCCACCCACCTGGGACTCTATGTATGTCACAAAAATCAGGGATCCAAATAAAACCTGCTACAGGGGTCAATTCTTCCTGTTTCCCCACAGATGAACATCCGTGTAAGACGTCCTGTTGTTCGATGGTGTTACTATGAAAGATCTGAATCCTACATCCCATCTCCTCCCTTCCTCCTCCTCCTCTTCCTCTTATTATTGTTGTTTTGTCTAAAATCTAGGCCTAGAACTAAAAGGTCAAACTTTTCCCAAGCATCACCTTAGTCCCTTCTACAATTAGCCATATTTTTGGATTTGAATGGTGTGGAAAGGGAAAATTGATTCAAACGTAGAATGTTCCATTTTGTAGTAATCTCTCTGATCCTGAAGATAGGCTCAACTCAGGCTGCCATGTGCAGGGAAAGCAGGAGTGTAGGAAAAGGAGCTTGGGTTGAGTCAGACAGGCCGAGGATAAAATTCCAGCTCATCTACTCATCCAACAAGTATTCACACAACCTAATTGTGAGACTTTGGACAGGTCACCTCCCTCCTTATCTGTAAAATGGGGGTTCCCATAGGGTTACACAGAGGAGGTCCATAGCAGTGTCCAGGCCACGATCAGACCCTTAGTTACATGGGTGTCCTTCCTCCTCTTCTTTGGATTCTTTAGTAATTGATAAATTGTGTACAACTTCTCAGCCAAAAGGTTCAATAAATTATAACAATCCACCCTCCAAATATCTACCTAATAACCCTTGTTAATAATGTTGATTCAAAAAATACCTTCTCAAATGAGACAGAACCTACAAGTCAAAGAGAAATCTTTAGATACCACAAGCAAGGATAAAAGACAAGGAAACTGGGAGAAAATCTTTTAATGTCTATAAAGACAAAGGTTTGTTTTTGTTTTTGTTTTTGTTTTTTGAGACAGTCTCACTCTGTTGCCCGGCTAGAGTGCTTAGTTTATAGCAACCTCAAACTCCTGGGCTCAAGCAATCCTCCCACGTTGGCCTCCCAGAGTGCTAGGATTACAGCCATGAGCCACCATGCCCAGCCAGAAAGAGCTCCTAGAATAAGAAGACAGACAAATATTCCAATAGCAAAATAGGCAAGGATGATTCATTGTAGAAATACAGATGGCTAAGAAACATATGAACAACCTTAGTAGTAATCACAGAAATGTAAATTGAAGCAAAGAGAAATATTTTTAGTCCATGAGATAGGGCGGATAAGATAATGTCTGCTGTTAGCAAGGATACGTGGAAATGGGTGCTAATGTGTTGGTAAGAAGATAAACTGGAATAGCTCTTCCTGTCCAAAATTTGGCAACATCAAAACATAAAATGTGCATGTTTGTTAAAACCAACAATGTCACTTCTAGGCACCTATCAAAGTTATATGCATGAGACACTCACCACAACATTGTTTGTAATAGAAAAAAAGTTAGAAACATCCTAAATGACCACGTATCTTATGGTTCATGTATATCATGGGAAAGTATGAGCTGATATAAAGACAGAGGCAGCTCTATAGGTGCCAACAAAGAAAGATTCCTGAGACAAAAGCAAATTGCAGAGACATCTCAGAGTATGATCACATTTATATGTTAAAAAACAAACAATAGGCCGGTGTAGTGGCTAACCTCTGTAATCCTAGCACTCTGGGAGGCCGTGGCAGGAGGATCGCTCAAGGTCAGGAGTTCAAAAAAGTGAGCAAAAGGCATGAACAGAAGTTTTTCAAAAAAATATAGACAAATGGCCAACCAACATATGAAAAAATGTTCAACATCACTAATCATCAGGGAAACATAAATTAAAACTACAATGAGATACCATCTCACCCCCTGTCAAAAAAAAAAAAAAAAAAAGGTCAGGAGTTCAAAACCAGCCTGAGCAAGAGGGAGACATCATCTCTACTAAAAAAAAATAGAAAGAAATTAATTGGCCAACTAAAAATATATAGGAAAAATTAGCCGGGCATGGTGGCGCATGCCTGTAGTCCCAGCTACCCAGGAGGCTGAGGCAGAAGGATTGCTTGAGCCCAGGAGTTTGAGGTTGCTGTGAGCTAGGCTGATGCCACAGCACTCTAGCCTGGGCAACAGAGTGAGACTCTGTCTCAAAAAAAAAAAACGAACTATGTGTGAACATATATTTGTCCTAAAAGATCGATTATGAAGGCACTAAGGAAGATAGAGCACACCCATGCTAGTCACAGAGGCTGCCCCGGGGGAAGAAAATAGGAGTTGAGTCCAGGTGAGAACAGGGGGAAATGAACTTTCCTATGGTCAGGTTCACATTTTACTCTATGTTCTTTTGTATTGTTTAAATTTATTTAAATGAGCATGTATTACTTTAGTTTGAAAAACAATAAATAAGAAAAAAACAGTTGTTCTTCCAAATCATTAACGGTGGTACCTAGTCTGAGCCACCCTGGTATCTCACTGGACCACTACACAAGCCTCCTAACTGGTCATCCTGACTCTACTCTTACCATACAATAGATTCTTAGAAACAGTAATTCTTTTTAAACATATGTATCAGACCATGCCTACGCCTGTGTCATCTAATCGAAATTCCTACTCATGGTCTATAAGGCCCTTCATGTGAGGTCCCTGCCTGTTCCAGCCTTACCCCCAGTACTCCCCTTCTTGATTATGGCCACAAGAGCCCTTTCCTCTGTAGCTTCAAAGAGCTGAGGATCTTGGCACACTGGCTGCTTTGAATCTCACCTTTTTAAGAGCCCACCCCTGAAGACCTTTCTAAAGTAGTAACATCTACTTCCCAGTGTCCCTTTGCCACCTCACTGTGTTATCTTCTTCTAGCATTTAAAACTATCTGAAGTTGTTTTGAATATTTGTTATTTTTCTTTACCATGAGAACAGACACCTTGTTTCCCTGTTTACTGTTGTACCCAACACCCAGAACAGTGTCTGGTACCTAGTAGGCATCCAAAATATACTGGATTGGCTGCGAACAGTGGCTGACTCCTGTAATCCCAGAACTTTGGGAGGTCAAGGCAGGAGGATCACTTGACACCAGGACTTTGAGACCAGCCTGGGCAACACAGAGAGACCTAATCTCTACAAAAATAAAAATGAAATAAATTAGCCAGGTGCAGTGGCACGCACATATAGTCCTAGCTACTCCAGGGGCTAAGGCAGCAGGACCTCTGGAGATGAGAGAGTTTGAGGCTGCAGTGAGCTATGATCATGCCACTGCATTCCAGCCTGGATAACAGAGCAAGACCCTGTCTCAAAACACACACACACACACACACACACACATATATATATACACACACATATATGTAAATACTTGTGTGTGTGTCTATAGATATATAATATATACTGGGTTTATGAATGAATGAAAGAAAAGAGAATATATTTAGGAGCTGTGAAAAGACAAAAATAAAAGAAAATTTTCAGTTTTGGTCTACTTATTCCTGTGTTGCTTGAATTCCTAAAATTTAAACACATTTGTATAGAATAAATATTAGGGGAATGAGTTTCTTTAAGGTTTTGAGCTAGGAAAGATAGATTGGTTGCTATTAGACAGAAGGAAAAAGTGTCTTCTCTGTTTTTTCAGGAGCAAATCTTAGGGCATTCTTCTTCTCCCTGATATCCCAAAAGATTGGAAGAGTTCACAGGGCAACCTTGTTTCCAGTGCCTCCTGGAAGCTTTACAAAATGCTGGTGCTCAGATTCCACCCCAGAGAGTCTTACTAAGGCATCTTTCAAAGCTCCCCTGGTGATTTGATGTGAAATTGGGCACAAGAATTACTGCCCCACAACATCCGTAACAGGTGAAGACTTTCACTGATGAGGAAGTTCTCAGTACAAAGGCGGTGTGAGTTCCTAAGACCCAGCTGGCCTTCCTCCCCATGCTCATTCAGCCAGACTGAAAGTCTGCTCTGAAAGCCCAGTTAACTCTGTCCTCCAAAAACCAGCCTTAAAAGAAACTTGCTCAGTAGTCAAAAAGTTTGGACTTGAAGAAATTGTGGTGTTTGGATGGTATCAAGGAAAATGTCTGGAAATATAAAATCATGGCTCTGTCAGATAGCTTACAGATCTTCTGAAACACAAAGGATTTCTTTCAAGGACAATTATCTGTAAGGAGACACATCATAAGTGGCCAAGCAAATGTGATCCTACCAGGAGTTATTTCACTGTGAAATATCAACTGCTGCAATCAGAATTTATGGGATTGAGTCCTAGAAATTCTGCCATGTTAGACCTCACACAGCATAAGAATCGGTTTACAATCCATATATCAAAGTGAGTTATCATAATTCTTTGTTTGCCACACTAATTTCTAAGGAAAGATCTGCTATTTGCAAAAAGCACCATGTGTCAACCACAGTTTGCTAGAGGTGACAGCTGTGGCCTCAATTCCCATGTCTTCCCATCATTTGGGGAGTAAAGTGGCCTATCAACTGGGTAAAAGGCTTGCGAGAGGGTGACCATCAGTAGGAAAGCTCTGTGGTGAAAGGTATTATTTATAATTCCTAAAAACATAAATATTAATAACAGAAAATAAAATGAAATAAGAAAGCAGGTTCTGGCCGGGTGCGGTGGCTAACGCCTGTAATCCTAGCACTCTGGGAGGCCGAGGCGGGCGGATTGCTCGAGGTCAGGAGTTCGAAACCAGCCTGAGCAAGAGTGAGGCCCCGTCTCTACTATAAAGAGAAAGAAATTAATTGGACAACTAATATATATAGAAAAAATAGCTGGGCATGGTGGCGCATGCCTGTAATCCCAGCTACTTGGGAGGCTGAGGCAGTAGGATTGCTTGATCCCAGGAGTTTGAGGTTGCTGTGAGCTAGGCTGACACCACGGCACTCACTCTAGCCTGGGCAACAAAGTGAGACCGTGTCTCAAAAAAAAAAGAAAGCAGGTTCTGGTCTATCATGTAAAGAGCTTCGAAGTAACCACTCTGTCCTAACAACAAGTAAAAAGCTAACAAACT